CCTCTCAAATCCAGCTCCAGCTTAGCTCAACTATATCTCTTATTACTCTTTCTTCCTGTCCTCAATACCTATCCTGGTCAACATTGCTCAGTGTGCTGTTGTATATAGACTGCTTTATCACCATGCAAATTTTTACTCACCCTTGAAAGCTTGCATCAGATCTCGCCTGGTTGCTCTAAGAAATGGTACAAAGGAGCTGGGTGTGGTAGTACATACCTGTAACCACAGCTACCCAGGAGACAGAGGCAAGAGGATCATGAGTTCAAGGACCAGACTAGGGAAAAGTTAGCCAGACCTCATCTCAAAATCAAAGTCAAAGAGCTATGGAGACAGCTCAATTGGTAGACCTCTTCCCAGTATGGCAAAAAAAGGGGGGCAGGGATAGGGACTTTATTTTTTTTTCTTTTAAATGCTAAAATTTTAATTTTTCTTAAAAATATATACATTATTTAGTAACTAGAAAAGAGCACATGCAAGTAGAATCTGACAATTAAAAAAACTTATTCATTTATTCACATGTGTGTACATTGTTTGGGTCATTTCTCCCCCCTACTTCCCTCCCCCTTCCTCCCCCCTCCCTTCCAGCAGAACCTGTTCTGCCCTTATCTCAAATTTTGTTGAAGAAAAGATAGCATAATAAGGAAGTCATAGCATTTTTGCTAGTTAAGGATAGCTATACAGAAAGATTCCTAGCATTGCCTTCATGTACAAATGTGTTACAACCCACGTTGATTCATCTCTAACTGATCTTTACCCTGGTTCCTGATCCCCTTCTCATGCTAACCTCTGTCACTTTAAGGTTTCTGTATTAGTTCCTCTGGAGTGAGGACATCAAACACTTTCATGTTTTGGGTTTTCTACCTATTCCTGTATCTCCCGTATGTGCTCTCCCCTTGTCATGTGATTCAAGTCCAACCACATGGCTGCATTTGCCCTAGATCTAAAGTCCTCATAAGAGGGAGAACATACAATTTTTGGTCTTCTGAGCCTGGCTAATCTTGCTCAGAATGATGTTCTCCAGTTCCATCCATTTACCTGCAAATGATAAGATTTCATTCTTCTTCATGGCTGAGTAAAATTCCATTGTGTACAAGTACCACTTTTTCTTGATCCATTCATCAGTAGTGGGGCATCTTGGCTGTTTCCATAACTTGGCTATTGTGAATAGAACTGCAATAAACATGGGTGTGCAGGTGCCTCTGGAGTAACCTGTGTTGCATTCCTTTGGGTATATCCCCACAAGTGTGATTGCTGGATCATATGGCAGGTCTATGTTTAGATTTTTAAGCCTCCATATTGTTTTCCAGAGTGGTTGCACCAGCTTGCATTCCCATCAGCAGTGTAAAAGGGTTCCTTTCCCCCACATCCTTGCCAACACATGTTGGTGGTGGTGTTTTTGATGATGGCTATTTTAACATGGGTGAGATGGAATCTTAAGTGTGGGTTTGCATTTCTTTTACGGCTACAGGTGGTGCGCATTTTTTCATGTGTTTTTTGGCCATTTGAATTTCTTCTTTTGAGAAAGTTCTGTTTAGTTCAGTTGCCCATTTGTTAATTGGTTCATTGATTTTAGGAGAGTTTAGTTTTTTGAGTTCCCTGTATATTCTGGTTATCAGTCCCTTGTCTGATTATAGCAGGCAAATATTTTCTCCCACTCTGTGGGTGGTCTGTTCAGTTTAGAGATCATTTCTTTTGTTGTGCAAAAGCTTTTAAATTTTATCACTTCAAACTATATTACAAAGTAATAGCAATAAAAACAGCATGGTACTAGCACAAAAACAGACATGAAGACCAGTGGAACAGAATGGAGGACCCAGATATGAATCCACACAACTATACTCACCTCATTTTTGACAAAGGTGCCAAAAATATATGATGGAGAAAATAGAGCCTCTTCAACAAGTGTTGCTGGGAGAAGTGGTTATCAGTCTGCAAGAAACTGAAACTAGATCCATGACTATCAACTAAAAATTGATCAAGGACCTTAATATCAGACCTGAAACTCTGAAGTTAGTACAGGAAGGAGCAGGAAACACTCTGGAATAGGTATAGGCAAGGACTTCAACAGAACCCCAGCAGTCCAGCAACTAAAAGAAAGGATGGACAAATGGGGATAGGGACTTTAAACTCTCTCCATAAGCTCAATCTGTCTTCTTCAAACAACCCAATTCAAAATTTAATTCTTTTGGATGAATGACTGGAGTTTTGCAATTTCACATGAACTATGTGTAAAAATATCTTTTCAAAAATATTTATAGTTTTATTGATCTGCAACATACCATGTAGAAGTTCTTTTTAAGAAACTGCATCATCAAGCAAGTCCTTTGGCCTTCACTTCCAACTGATCACTCTAAGTTCCTTCTTTACAGAAATTCTGTTATCTTAAAGTTCTGGGAAATGAACCCAGGACCTTGTGCATGCTAAGACACTCCTGAGCTGTACCCGCAGCCCACTCTTAGAGAAATTCTGAAGCAGTCACAAAACTTGGCTTGACCTAAGTTTTCTTTTCCTGACAAGCTCTATGACTTCTTCTGAGTTCCCATAGTTCTGACCATATACAATGCTATCTTACTAAACAATAATCCAGTGTTATTTTCTCTTTTGGTCTCTTCCACTATGGTAATTCATCCTCTCCATCAATTTGTTCATGTGAAAGAAAAAAAGGGATATAATTTAAAATTTTTTAAAAGTTTCTTTTGTGTAAAATATAGATGGTAAGACTTATCTCAGAACTGTTGTGATAGCAAATGTGCTGATGCATATTTAAAGCATCTGTCACAGTGCCTAACATATAATAAATGCTACATAAATGTCAGGAATTACTTTTCAATATATGATGGAGTACTAGTCCAGAGAGTCCTACAGGAAACAGTGGTAAATACACAGTTCACCAAAGATCATGATATGAAAACACAGTGTGCCCTGAAATTCCCCAAGTGGTAACTACTTAAGCACAAAGCCTTCCCAAAGACTCTGCAAAAGTCTATTTGCAGAGATGACAGGAAATTGAGCATATTTTAATGTACAACAATTTAAGACAAAGTTATTAAGATCTTAAAACTGCGAAAGAATTGAAGTTTCAATTGTAAAATTTCAACCTTCTGAGGATATTAATTAAAACACTTAGAAAATCTTGCATTTGGGAAAAAAGAAACACATCTTGGGTGCTGTCTTTGACTCTACTGTGAAATACATCTTTGTTCTCAGCTTTGGTGAAGTGTGTTGCATGGTAGAGATAACAGCAAACTGGAATTAAGGATACTGGATTCTAGCCCACCATTAACTGTGGGACCTGCAGCAATGTTTTAACTCCTAGGGCTTTAAAACCTCATTTGGAATTTGAAGGTACTAGACTAATCTCTAAATTTCCACACAGCTCTAAAATATAAAGTTTAAAAAAATATGTATTAATGTATTGTAAACTTTTTCTTACATGGACACCCCCCCCCACTAGAAACTGGATGCTTTTTAAAAGACAGGAATAAAATCTTATTTTCACATTCTGGTGCCTTCATCCAGTGCCTATTTCTTTTTTTTTTGGCAGTTCTGGTGTTTGAAATCAGGGCCTTGTACTTGCTAGATAGGCACTTTCCTACTTGAACCACACCTCCTGTCCTTTTTTATTTTTTGGATGGTGTTTCAAGTTTTTGACCAGGGATGCCCTGGATTGTGACCCTCCTACCTATGCCACTCACACAGCTGGGATTACAGGTATGTGATCCCAGCATGTACCTGGGTTTTTGGTGGGTTACCACCATACCTGGGTTATTGGTTGAGATGGGGGTCTCACTCAGTTTGTGCCAGGCTGACCTCAAACCATGATCCTCTTGATCTCCTGAGTAGCTGGGATTGCAGGTGAGCACCACCATACCTGGTCCCTATTTCTTTACTCTGAATCAGTGAGTTAGTAACTTTCTCAGCGAGGGGTGGTGCCTGCCTATAATCCCAACACTACAGAGGCTGAGATAGGATAATCAAGAGTTAAAGTCCAGCCTGGGCTACAGAACAAGTATATACACCAAGACCCCATCTCAAAACAAACAAACAAAAAAACCACCACCAGCACCACTACCACCTCTGCCACCAAAACTGTTTCTTAAATGAATGCATGGTCCCCTTTACAGGGCTCCTAGTTTTAAAAAGACAGAAAATTTATGGTATAACAAATTACCTAATACTAACATAATTATGCTATTTTAGAACAAATGATTATGTACTAATCTAATTGTTGATGTTGAATGTATTTAGATTCTATTATTGATTGTATTTAGATTGTATTATTGATCACTGCAGTTTTTGCTAATTTAGAAAAATTCTAACCTAAAAGACTTCCCTATCTCTGGCATATTTTAGAAAAATTATGAGTTAGCTATAAAGCTTTGAGAGAGGCTAACATATGAAATGCTATTATCCTAAAGAGCAATAGCCACCAACATCAAAGGTACAAGCATTCACTTCCCAGTAGCATTTGGAAGAAAAGGTTATTATCTCTGCCTTTCTACCAGAATTACAGACTGAAAGATAGTTTTATCAAGCAAATAAGGAACTAAAATATATAGACATACTGAGAAAGTATGCATACACACATGAGCACACACAATAAAACTCAGCAACTAATCAACTGCCTCATTTACCCATTTTCAAGTTGATATTTAATGCCAGCTTACTGCAGGTGCATTTCAAAAATATTCCTAAATTGAAATGTAAAATGGCATGTGATTAACTGTAAGGGCTGACCTATGTAGACAAGAGTATTTTCCTAGTGCTTTCGAATGAGGGCAAATGCCTCTTTCTGGATATATCCTCAAAAGAGAGAGACAATATATTATATTTCATCTGCTTTAGTAAGAATGTGGTTGATACTTGAGGCGTACTTGCTTCACGATTTCCTGGACCTGAACTATTAGGAAGGCTGAGGGTTTTTTCCCCAACCCCTAAACAGCCTAAAACCACCCCAACCTGAGTTTGAATGTTATTCACAGATTGTCTTTATATAAACTGACACAAGCATAGTAAGTTTTTATTGTTAAATTGTTGTGGTACCATATGCAGAACCAAAATTAAGAGGATTGATCTATTTGCGCATTCACATTTTAAATTCTTGAATAATAAACAAGTTAATAAATGACTAGGTAGAAAGGAAAATGAATCAAGGGTTTCCTTACAAGTCTTCTAATTTCTCTAATAATTATAGAAAACATGCTCAGAACTTTAGAAACACTTTTTCCTACATGTCATATTGAATTAATAAATAAACTATGTTTTCCTCAATAAACTGGAAAGACTGTCAATATTAAGGACAGTCTATATCTGGCTAATGCAATTATAACTTGGATATGATACAGGCATGAAGAATAAAGGGGTGACATAGCTTAAAATTTTCCAGAATGTTAAGATTTTTAATGCTGAGTTTCCAGTTCCAGAATTGTCCATTCCCCTTGAGGTGAACAATCTTCAGAGGAAAAACTAGCCATGGTGATACTTGCTGAGGAATTATCAAGTGGAGATGTTAGTTCACTCCACCTGTTCAAAGTGTCAACATGTGCTATACCCTGAGGTTTTGAGCTGTCTCGTGCTAAACGTAGTGTCTGATTGATTAAATACTGTGCTAAATTTAGGTCTTCAGGAAGAGAATTTGTAATATTTAAGTTTGAATCCTGTTCAGAGAGCAGTTGCTTTAGTAGTGTCCAATCTTGTTTCGCAAAGTGCTGATTATCTTCAAAATCCGTATCTGTAACATGTGTTTCTGATTCCATTTTCTGCTCAAATGCTTCTATTACATCCATCTCATATATTGGAGAGAGGGTTTTTGAAGGCCGGTGGTCAAATATGCGGGTTTGTGCCAGTGTGTCACAATCATCTATGTCTCCTGAAATAATTCATAATACTACACAATGTAAAAATTGTTCATGTTGGTACCGCTCAGAGTTTTGTAGAACAGTATTAACATCATATAACAGTGATAGTTCCTCCCCCAGAAAAACACAAAATGGGAAAAATAACATTTATACAAAATTGACAAAAGTTTTGAGGCATTTATTTTCCTATGTTAAAAAAATTCAAGGGTAATGGTTAGCAGCAAAATCAACATAGATAACTAACAATAGTTCTCCACACTTTAATTTTAAAACTTATGATACAAAAAATAACAAATTATTTAAACTTTTAAACATAGGAAGCACACATATATCTAATTCACTACAATAGAAACTTTAAAAAAAAAGATTTATTTGATAGTGACTTTAAAAATAAGTCAGTTCCAAAGAGGGAATAAATACATTTTATCTAAAGGTTTATTTGTATATTGAACATGCAAAAGAGTTTGCAAGCAAGGACAAACAAACATAGAAGTACAACTTTTAAAGATCTCCTGTTCTTATGATTTTGCTGAATAGGGATTGCTGGTCAATATTTTTCTGTTATGATATACAATAGTTACTCAGTCAGCCACTATTGCATATTTTAAATGTGGGTCATTAGTCTGAATTATTGTAATTAGGAACACAAAAACACAAAACAATTAGACAAGAAACCATCTAAGCATATGAAATAAGCTGGGGCTTTTTTATTATCATTGCTTCTAAATATAATCTCTTTAAGGAAATTTATCTTTTTACTTGAAAATTTTAGAATAGAATTATATTGACCCTGAAAGTCATAATCTATGCAAAATGTATAAATTGTAATAATCCATCTAGTTGTCAAAATATTTCAGTGCATTTAGTTACATATTACTATAGTTATTGCACATCCCTCTTAGATATATACTAGTAGGTCCATAAGTAATATCCAGAGTATAATAAAATTTCTAAGAATTCCTATATTAAATTAGACATAAATAATGAAATAAGAACAAAATTTTGTTTTTTCATGTAAAATCTCCTAATAGGTTATCTCTGTCTAATAAACAACCAAATTTTTTACTAGATGTTAATTCTTCACTGGAATTTAAAGTGAACAATAAAGAATGACTAACTAGTTAATTCTTATATTAAGAAATTTAAACTTTCATTTAAAATTTGAAACTGTTGCTTATATAATTGTTCTATATAACTAAAATATAACATTCAGAATTATGTACAACTTTAAAATTCTATCAACTTATTTTCTTATGCATTTATTAGCATTCCTATTTCTGTACGTTACCTGCAGATAAAGCAATATTAGCTGTTGTTGCAGAATGGCTCTCTTTCACTTGACCTTCCTGAGGCAAAACCTGACTCCGAAAAGAGTCTAGAGATTTTGTAGAACTCATCTTTGGTATGTCAGAATTTGGTTCTCTTTGATGAAGCTCCAAATGGCACGGTCTTTCTTGAGATTTCGTATCACTATCCAAGAATTTGCTACGTTGCTGAAAATCATTATCTATATCACATCCACTGTTTACTTTATTTTCTGGAAAAAACTGTCTGCCTCCTTTGGACAGGGCATCTAATGTGTTCTTTTGGTATGTGGCTGAAACACTCTGTTTATCTTTTCTTGAAAAGTCAGTGCTACTAAGACCCAAGAGAGTGCTTTCATTTTTATATGCACTATTTACTTTATCTTGTTTACACTGTAAAATACTATCTTCACTTTCTTGTGAGAATCTAGAATAGCAGAGCCCTCCACGATGTTCATGAGAAACACCATCAAAAACATCAGAAGGTGAAAAAGAATCTCTAGAAGGCTGAAAGGGAGTATGGACTTCCCCTTCATCAGACCCCAGTTCTTCACATTCATCTACTGAGAGCAAAACAGACCTTTTAAACTTTTTTGTTGCAGAAAACTCACGACTTTCGCTTTCAGCTCCATCTTCAAAAGCTAAGTTAATTATTCCCTGAAACTGCTGGGGAGCTGGGTTAGAAACAGAAAAAATTTCTGCAACATTTTCTGCTTCAGATCTTTCATCTTCTGTTTCATCTGCTGAAGAAGAAACCTGATCTATTTCCTGAGCAAACTGGACACTGCCTCGAGGATTATTTTCTTTTTCTCTCAGGTGAACTATTGTAGACCGAGACCAAATTTCTGGCCTTTTCCTAGGAATCTCATCATCACTTGTTGAGTTAACTTGGAAAAGATCATTACTACTTTGCTTTTTCATTTTTACTTCAATTCTTAAGTTACTATCATATATTTTTAACTCTTCAGGAGTACTGGTATCACTGCTACTTCTTCCAAGAAAATCACGGCACAGCATAGTGCCACATTTAGAAATGCCTCTGTCATTTGACCCATCATCATCTTGTGATCCTCCAGCATCATAGTCTTCAGATCTGGGCTTTATGTCATCAGAGGATGTGGTAGCACTGCCAGTGTCAGATTCAGGACTCTCTCTCTGGTGTATAACACTGGTACTCAAATTCCAATGACCCATGAATGGACCATCTGGAGTTTCATGGCTCTCCAGAGTTTCTGATATTTCCATATTTTTAGGAAAATTTTTTTCTGATGGTTGTACCAAAAAAAATTTGGAGGAAGCATCTAAGTCTGATTTATCATGTTTATCTTCCTTCATGGCAAAGTCACTGCACATCTGACTAGAAATTGTTGTTTCTTCAACATTAATTTTAGATTTTCTGTCATCTTGAACAGAATCTAAGGTACCATTTGTCCTTTCAGGAACAGAAGACAAAACATCTTTCACACATTTCATGCTTAATTGCTTGTTTGTATCCTCTTTCCCTACTTGGTTCTCTCTATCTGATATGAAATGGATTTGCTCTGCATTTATTGAGTTTACATTCCAAACTGGATTAGAGTTTAAGGAGTTTTCATCTTGACTTGAAATCATAGATTTTAGAACAACTGTGCAATCAAATTTTGAATCTACATTATCACTCCCACCAGAATGAGAATATATTTTAACTGTATTGCAGTGATTTGTACCTTTTTGATTGAGAAATTTTGTTTCACTTTTATCTGAACAAATCTGTTTTGATTTCAGTTCGTGCTTTATTAATTTACCCAGCATTGAGGTATTTTGGCATTCTAACACCAACTTCTCTTTTTCTTGGTTGCTTAATGGCATTTGTGGGTCAAGTCTGCATGAAGACTGGAATGCTTCTGGGCCACTGATCTCAGATGGGAGATCAATCAGAGGTCTATGAGGCTTCTGTTCAGAAACAATGCACTTGTTATTATCATGTATATCATGAGGCATACTTTTTTGGACAACAGATGCTTCACTTTTTAAAAGTCTTTGAGAAGAAGACTGAGTTTTCAATATAGTCTGTCCAGGAAGAATTTTTTGCTTTGATTCTTTATTATTCAAAGTTTCACCTTTCTTTGATAAAGTTAGGTTTTTAGGCACTGACACCACTTTTGCATTAACCTTTGGCAAAGCTGTATACCCTTGTTTGACAATTTTTCTCTTAGGTGTTTGTTTATCTGTAGTTGTACTGTGGTTCAACTTTGTCACATTTTCATCAGACTGCCTTGAAGAGACTGAAGATTTTACTGAATTTGGTGACTCTCCTTGGGAACCTAAGAAAAGAAAGTTCAGAAATACAATATACTCTAATTCTGAGTGAAATTCAGTATGTTTTAAAAGTCACCATAAGAAAAATAAAAACAAAAAAGGGTAATATTTCCAATATCTATAATCAAATGGACAATTACATATTAGGAGTTAGTCACATATTAAAACTGAAAAAAAAAAAGATTTTTCTGCTAAAAATATAACAGAAACTATCCCAGGTCTTAGTAAAAATTGTTAAAATAGGATCTCTCTTCCTCAGTAAAGAACCTTGAACCTTGTATCAAAATTGGATTTGCCTAAATAAATGAGGGTAGAAATATCTGGTTTTCTTATAACAAGAAAGGTCTTCCCTTTGAAAGTATTTTGGGTATAAAAAAAGAGAAAAAACTGTGTTCTACATGGCTAGAAAAGAGAATGAAGTCAAATATAAAACAGAAAAATTATTACAGTTCTTTTTTTCAAGCATGAATAAAACCATTTTACTTCTCATAAGATCATTATTATTGTAGATCATTTGGGTTAACTACTTAGATCTGCAGTGGAAAACAGAGCTGTTGATTAGAGGGAGCAAGGGATTCATTTTGGAACTTCATTTGTTTATCCTGTTAAAAGTCTTAGAGATGTTATTCTGGGAATTTAAATCTGTCAAATAGAATTACCTTTTGTTTTTGTTTTGGCAGTACTGGCAGTTGAATCGGAGCCTTGCACGAACTAGGAAAGTATCCTACCACTGAGCTATACATACAACCCTATCAAAAACTTTTAAATGTTTAATTTTCAACTATTACTGAGATATGAATAATTTTCTCTTCCTTATTTTTGATTGACTTTCAGTGTTAATTAATAATGAAAATCAAAATTATTTTTAGGATTTTACAAACTGCTTTTACATATGTGAATGATTAACACATAAAGAAAAGTAATTTTAATAATCAGTTATCATTATATGTATATTAGCAAATTATGCAACCTAATCAGTACTTTTTTTTCTTTCTTAGAACATTGAAAAACAATGGGCAAAGCATAGATTCCGGGCAAAAAATTCTTCCTCCCTACATGTTACGGCTGATTAGATCACAGCATTATTTTAAGTGCTCTTCAGTGCTAGTTTTGCAAATGGGATTCCTATGAAACTTTCAAGAAACATAGGCATACTCTATTAAAGATCAGAAATGCAGGTAAATGTGTGTCTTAATTAATTCTACTATAAAGAACAAAAACCAAATTCATGCCTCCCCAAACATAAAATACTTGTCTAAAACGTAAAAGTATTAATTCTCACCTCTACAGTGTGAAACAAATGTTAAAAAAGTGAGTGCCTGCCTACCAAGTGTGAGACTCTGAGTTCAAAACCCAGTACCAAAAAAAAAAAAAGTAAAAAGACTGAAATCATGTTTTATCTTGCTTATAAAGTTCCAAGTCAGAGTTTGCTTATCCAGCTTACACAAGGAAATAATACTCATGAGACTCAGGACTATTTCAGCTTTACCTGGAGTTTTAACAAGATTAGATGAGGCACTCTTTGTCCTTTGCTGAACTGTAGTACATCCATTACTACTTCCTCTTTTCTTGAGAATTGCTTGTACTGGATCACCACATCCTTTGCCAATGACCTTCTTTATTGCACTAAGAAAAATGATTTGCATTTGCCATTACAATGAGATTCCAAAGCATGAACTTATAAAAGATCTATGAAATATGTTTTCCTCAAGAAATAAAAAGTATGCTGCTTCTGAAAATGGAGGAACCATATGTTCATAAGCCTTTAAGTTTTAAAAATATAGGGTCAAGTATGATAAAGCAATGCATGATCACATGCTATAAGTATAAAGTAAGATACCCCTTTAATATGCTGTTGCATCAATCCTCTTGCATAAATATGAAAATCATTTAAAATATCACTGTATAAATACATTAAATTTTTTAATGATGAAAAGATTCATTATAAAATTTTAGCTAGTAGTATATATAATTAACTTTCAGAAAGTTAACATATAGGTAAAGCATTGAAGGGAGATCTACCTATTATTTATGTTAGCGTCTTGTTCTTGAATGTTTTTTTTACTGGAAGTTCCATTGGTAACTCTTGAAACAGGTCGAGATTTTAGTGCTATAAATTAAGAAAAAGTCAGTCAGTCAGTCATGAGATAGAATACAAGAAATATGTGACAAATTAATGACATTTACTGGTTAGATACTATAAACAAAACTAAGTGTTAAAATGGAAGAACTACTTTTTACACGAGTATATATATATATATAAATACTTTTTGGTATTCAAAAGTAAATAAAAGCCCCTAAGGACCATTCTTTCTAGGAACTTTAACTGTCAGGAATTATTTAAAATTAGTGTGCTTAACCTCCAACACAGGAAAACAAAACAAAACACAAACAGTGTTGAAGGTGTGCGTGTGCACACACTCAAGGTTAAAAGCATTACAAGTGCTAAAACCCACCTGCAGTGGAACTTTTGACACCTTCTATACTGTTTTTCACCATACGTCCTGGAGGATCGCAAAAGTTTAGCTTTGGAGCTGAAGACTTTTCTTCTCCTACTGATCCATTTTCTTTTGGTTCATCCAGACATGTAGGAGGAATCAATACCTCCGCACTTGAATTTATAGATCTACTGGAAGGTCCTGGCCCTTTTTTCAGTTTTGCTTTGGCATGCACATTTAAGTTTCCAGAGAGTACCTTGGGTCTGGCTCCTGTAATCTGCCCTTCCTGATTTCGTACTCCTTTTCCATTTAATGAATTTTTCTGTCCAGGTGCTGCTGCTGCTGATCTTTCCACAATTTCTGGTGACATGCTTTCCAACTTTGCATTATCATTGTTTTCTGCTTTGGGCTTTATTACAGTGTTGGGATTTCCAGAAATATTTTTCTCCCCAGTTTTCAATTCTTTTGTAACCTTAGATGTCACTTTTGTACCATCCTTTTCCTTTAAATCATTATGCTTCAAAGTTTTATTTATACTATTTCTATTGGTATTTGATGAACGTGCAGATGTTCCTAATCCATCGGATTTCATCTTTTGATTAGTAGAGAGATAACTCCAACACTCTTTTTTGTTATTTTCCCTCCAAGATTTGTTTTTTATAACACTAGAGTCAGAAACTTGTCTCCTTTGCTACAAAGAAGAAAAAGAACTCTGTAAATTGACTAAAGTATTTGATAGATAGCATTGTTTTGATAAACCAATTTTTCAGAGGAAAATATAGCAAAGTTCATAGAATGATTTAAGATCACACAAAATTCGAATTATCTTTGATACTTTTCATTAAATTTTTTATCTCTGACCATATTACCTTAGTCAAATCTCAAATAGAGCATTAAATGTTTATATAAAAGGCACTTTATTTGAATTTATGGGGTTATGATAGAGTTAATGCCTAAAGGTTCAGGATGTTTTGAGTAAATGATGAAACCCAAAATTTTTTTTGAAGGCCTACCCCCAGGTCCATACTAAACCTTTTTCATACATCATTTTATTTAATCCTTACAGCAATCTTATGAAATTGCTCCTGTATTTATTTTCATTTCAAACACAAGAAACTGGGAAGTAAAGCAGGTATGTGACTTACCCAAGGTCACATGCTGTTAGGGCAGGATTAGGACTTGAGCTCATAATTTATTACCTCAAACATACAGTAATCTAAATGGCATAATTTTAGGGGAATTATAAAGATTTTCACCCAAAATTCTCTCTTCAATTCTATCCCAAATGTCAGAAATTTTATTACTAAAGACTTAAAACTATGATAGTTCTGGAGTCCTCATTAAAAAAACACTCCCAGGAAACACAACATATTACATTTGAAAAGCCTGGTTTCTGAAAAAGTAAGACAGTAGTACAGTATTGGCCACCTGGAGGATGTGGAGGAAAAAAGTTCTAAAAACAGCTAAAATGGAGAAAGGAGGAAAACAGAAGGTACTAAAGACAAACACGACTACATTTTTCTTAGCCACCTTGATAAAGGAAAAGAAACATTTTTAAAGTTAATCAGAATTTTAAATTAAAATGTTAAGATTGTCATTCCTTCTGTATGTAAATGTTTATGTTTTCCAATGCAAAACTGTGTGAGACTGTAGAAGTATGAGGCAGAACCTATGTTGTATTCATCTTTGGCATTATTATTATTATTATTGGCGGTAGTTGGTTTTGAACTCAGGGCATCCCACTTGTGAGGTAGGGGCTATACCAATTGAGCCACACCACCAGACCCATCTTTTGTATCTATTCATTTATTTATTTTTGTGGTGCTGGGACTGAACCCAAGGCCTTGAGTATGCCAGGCAAGTGCTCTGCCACTGAGCCACACCCTGAGCCCCATCTTTTGAATCGAAAACCCTTGGCCCCATACCCATAATATACTAGGGACTCACAAAAATGTTGGCTAACTGTTGTTAAATAGTTATAACTGTATACTGATATACAGTTCAAAGTCTATTTCTAAAAATGAAAGCTTCTAATTACATAAAAATTGTCTAAGATAAACTAACATAAATATGCATGCACATGTAAGTATGTGTATACAGACAATAAACAAACACACAAACTTGGCTAAATTTAGGGAAAAACAAAGTATGGTGATAAAGAAATTACTAGACTCTGATCCTGGCTTTGTCTCTAACAAAACTGGGATATTTAAGAAGTAACCAACATCTCTGGGTCTTAGATTTTGCATGTCTACAGAGTGGGAATGATCTTCTTCAGAGCAGTGTTCTATGATTCTAACATTTATAAAGTTCAAATAGGCTTGTTCCTCATTTTTATTTTCCTGATCAAGTCTTAGCTCAAAAAAGAACACTTCTCTATTTTTTAATACCAGCCATGTTCTGCTTTTAGACCTCTTTCTCACCTTTAAGACTGATCCACGTAAGAGGTGGGTATCAGAAAGATCAAGGTTTGAGGCCAGCCTAGGGCAAGAAGTTAACAAGACCCCATCTCAACCATTAAAATCTGGGTGTGGTGGAAGCACAAGTAGGAGACTCAAGGTCCAGGTCAGCCCTACCTCAAAACTAACCAATACAAAAAAGGGTGGCAGAGTGGCTCAAGTGGTAGAGCACTTGCCTTGCAAGTGCAAAATTGTGAGGTCAAACCCCAATACTGCCAAACAACAATAACAAAAAACCTGACCCTACTTAATTTATTTTATCCTTAAATCTACTTTGGAGTATGCTTATGGGTGAAACTTATATGAGATTAAATACTACTTTAGAAACTTCACCATAGTATGGTTTGATGAGGATTCAATGTATATGTGTTTCTAAGCAGCATCTGATTTATAGCTGCAGAGTTTATATATAGTTCTTATAAACACAGGAACAACTGGGAACAGTCACCACATTCTATTGCTAAAAGTGAAGAAAAAGAGGATTAACCCTCTAAAGCATTCTTCTTACACATCTCTTCCAGTACTATTCTTTTCTTTTGGTTAACTTTTTTCTTTTTTGAGAACAGGTCTTGCTGTATATCTTAGGCTAGTCTTGAATTCTTGATCCTCTCCCCTCAGTCTCTGAAGTACTGAGATTACAGGCACACACCAACCACACCTAGCTGGGTTAACTTTTTATTACCAAAAAATTTAAACATAATCAAAAGAAGTTAAAGGTGCTAATATCCACCTTTAACACTTGCCAATTCATGGCCAATTTTATTCCGTATATACCTGTACCCATACCCATTTTATTTTGAAGCAAATACCAGATATCATATTTTATCCTTAAGTACTATAGCACTATCACAACTGCCTTTTCTATACCTACCCGTCATCCCTATCCCTGGCAATCACCATTCTACTTTCTGTTTTTAAGAATTTAATTACTGAAGTTAAGAATTTAACATTAAAGTATAAAACACAACTGTGCTCTTGGTACTTTTTACACATAAAAATGTTATGTAACTTAAAATATTAGAAGAAAGAAAACTAGAACAATTAAACCCTTCTTTTGTTAGAAGTAGGTTAATTAGAAAAATAGTGAATTAGGTCTAGAATGCTAAACAATTCCTAATGCACAAGAATAGCTCTAGCATGATACTTGCCAAAAAAGGTTTTCAAGGAAATGAAAAAGGCAGATACTGCCCATGCCAACTAGATATAAAAAATTCACATCATTTAAAATTTATATTAAATATTCACTGATAAAATAATTTTAATCAAAGGCCATATTTTTAAATTATTCAGAAATATAAAATAGTAAAATTTAAAACTGTTTGGTATCTTTTTCATTGGGATCTATAAATTTTGAAAGTTTACCTGAGAGCTACTGAATATAGGCTTTTTGCCAAGTCTTCGATCATCACCTTTATCAAATGCAGCTGTAGAAAAAAAGTGGCAATTTATTTTTATAGGAAGCATTACTATTATTATTATCATAAAAGTACTGGAAAAACAGAATGCCAGCAGAAAAAACATTATATTTTGATGAAAATAACACACATACACAAAAACCCTGAAACCAAACTAGTATAGAAAAAATGTCCTGCTAGAATTTTAGTTTTTTTAAAAAAGAATCTCACTTTTCAATGGTCCTTAAAATTTTATATTTTTTACAATTAATAAGAAATGTAAAAATCTCACATTAAAGATTCAAATATGTATAGAAAAATCCAGTTGTTTTCCAAATTTCAAAAAACTACATCATATTATGTAATATTTTATAAACAAATATGAGAAAATATTTATCCTAAAAATATAAAAATGCTCTGTTGAAATTAACTAAAAATGTTTTCTGGTTTTGCAGGTATCATGATAGAGGAAAGAGAAGAGAAAAAATCATGTGTTTCTGAAAATAAAACAAGAAGCAATCTTCAAATTTCAATCACCCTTTGAGAGTGAAATAAAATTCATTTTATAAGGTAGGTTTACATGGAACTATTGGGGAACTCCTGTTTGCTCTAAAAATAAGAATTTGAATGGTACCAGGAAAATATATAGGAATAAATGAGAGCTATAAATATTTTAGTGAATATATTTCTTTTTTTGAAGATTAAGGGCTTTAAGACATGCTTTAAAGAAATACACATAATTTCCCCAAACTGTGTCATTTTTATTAGAACAGCTAATAAAATATATTAAATTATTGGTAACTCCATCACACATCTTCTGCAATCTCTGTTCTATACGGCATGTGCTGTAACACAAAGCAAAATCCTGGAAGTGGCATAGTAAAGACTGACTTGCCGCAACCAAATGACTGCACAGTGATATAGAGAAAGACATCAATAAAAACTTCCCCCAAAGGTCAGTAACTCAACAAGAACATAAGAACACTACAACAAAGACAATTCAGAACCACTCCTTTATCAGACTTCCCAATGCCTAAGTAAGGATTCATTATAATTCAACACATTTAAGATTTAAAAATATTACTAAACTGATGCAGTATAACAGAATGAAAAGTTCCTATGCTAATTAGTTGTATTACCAATGCCATTTTGTTTAGATATGTGTGTGTATATATATATATATGTGTGGGTGTGTTTACATGTATTTGTAATTAGAACTTTCAAGAATTAAAGAACGCTGTCTGAAATTCAACTTAGCTATGAATCCTCTAAAGTAGGGAAAAACAAAGTTTGCTACCAATCAGAAGAGGGTGGAAGGACACTGACTCAAGCAATGCTCATCTTATTTTGCTTCTTCACATTGTATAGAATTTGTAGTGAAGATAAACTGGATAGAAATAAGCACAAAAAAAGTCACAAGAAAAAATTTCCAATTTCTAAAGATCCCATGATTTTTATTATTTGTAAACATAATTTCTTTGAAAAGTGCTCTTCAAATTACATCTAGTTTTACCATCATGTTATAATGCAAGACAGAGCAGGTCATATTCTGACTATACCACTAAAGAATTTAATATACCTATGCATTATCAAGAATATATTTTATCACAGATGGCTTCCATGTTTCATAGTATTAAAATATTTTCTACATAAAATACAGTCTCTTAGCTTAAAATGTTTTTAGAGGTATATCTGCTCAATATGCTAGTATTATTTCTAAGGCACCTGCTTTAGCCCAAAAAATAGTCATGAAGCCATTTTTAGTTCCACACCCTGAATTTTTTATTTTAATGTTTTAAAAACAAATATGCACTCTGATTAATGTATGCTTTCTTTGATGCTGATGTTTCAAATGGTACCTATTAAATGTCAGAGACCACTGTGCAGCATCCTGAGGGACACTCCGCAATAGCACACACCACATCACTGAACCAATCAATTGTGAAATAAAGCCATCTAATCTAGGCAAAAACTATTAAGAAAAAAATAGGAAAATCTTTAAGGCAAAATATATTTTAAAAGACAGAAAAAGTATGTATGGTAATCTATTCTTTGTGGATCATATTCTTTTATACTTCTAACCTCTTCATAAAAATGCTTTTAAGAAAATTTGGCTGGGATATTATTGCTAATATACAGTAGGATTAAAAATTGGTATCATACACAAAGGAAATGAGTTTCATTTTCTAACAGCAAAAAATAATGATTTATTAAAACTGCCCAACATTCTATCACTAGTTTTGGTTAGCACCCTATTACTGAACAGAAGCACACAAATATTAATCTGAATAATGGATTCAGAATGCCTTCAAAATATCTGCTGTCATAAAGATCATAACCTGAAAATAGAAACATTTCAAGGCTAACATACCTGCTTGAATTTTCTGTTGATCATCTGTGCTCATTAGTTTCCAGCTTTGTGTGTGACGAACAGCATAGAAAGACTGAACCAGGAAGATCCACAGCTTATCACGCAGAGCCTGGATCTTGCACGTAAAACCCTGTGTTCAAGCAACAAATCAGCAGCTGGTGAGAGCCACATTGTCATAGCAACCAGTCATTATTCCTTTCTGAATCTACTTACTCCTAAGCTAGATCAATGATGTCATCACTTAGATTTTTAAGATCGCTGAGTACATGTTACTTATGAAGGCTAGTTCATTAACAGAATTTTAAAGGGAACATTAAGCTAAATCTTATCCTTTCAACTAAACATTACTTTAAAGCACCACTGACTATTTTATGAATATCTTCTATAGCCTTTTCAAATCAACTATGACATTACAAGGTCAAATACTATATGCAACAGTAACAAACATGATGAAATATTTTATCATTTTTATAGAATAAAAATACAAATAATTTATAATTAGCTTATTGTCACTGATTATATTTTAAAATAAGTCATTTTAATTTTTGTTTTTCATGGTTAATATAATTTTAAAATATAACTTTTTGAAGAGAAAAAGGAATTAGGGCAAACTAATAAAAGTCTAATTATTAAAAAATTCTAAACTGCACACTTTATATCTATAAATTTAATATAGTGATCAGAGAGAAATACTAGACTTACATTTTGCTAAATAATATTGCTAAGTACCAAACTATGTTTAGAATCAATGAGCCAAACTTCCAAATTCTAAACTTTTATAAAAGTCCATTTGGAGGGGAAAAGAATTAAAAATTTTTTATGTTATGAAAAAATTCCAAACATACACAAAAGCAGAGACTGTAATTAACTTCCAGGTGTCTACTGCTCAGCTTCAATGACCCATGCAACATTTCAAATGCACATGCAATTTAAAATCTTAAAACATGTCAAAAATTACATTATTTTAATGAATTTCATTACATTTAGTACCATTTCTTTTGTGCTTTCAGAATTCAGTAATGTGTCCAGAGCTATAAGAAGATAGCAACTATTTTCAGTGGTAATATTTTCTTCAATAGCTTTTAAAATTTTGTCCAACAGATCAGGCGTGCTGCTCATTGCTTGTGACTATAAAACACAGAAATTGCCATTTAATAGAAATATATGTAAAATATATAAGAAACACGGAAGTTTGGCATAACAGCAGAACCACCATCAAAACTGGCTGTATGAAGACAATCAGAAATCATATTTGCTAACTCCCTTTCCTTTGTTAAAAACCTTGCATTATATACCTATACCTTCATACACACTATTATTACGGTCCAAATAGTATAAAAACAGAACTTAGTGATATGCAATAGGAGTTCTTTATTCAATAACTAATTTTAGAAAAAGTAGCTCCTCAGTAAGACAGGGAATTCTGCATGGATTATAATTATATTACTGATCAAAACAGTATCTTGGGCTGGAGGAATAGCTCAAGTAATATAGTACTTGTCTAGCAAGCATAAAGCCCTGGGTTCAACATCCAGTACCAAAAAAAAAAAAATAGTAATCTTTCTGATTTGGTTTCTAAAATGTGGCTATGGTGATTGAGGGACAGAGTTGGCCAGAGTTACAATGTGCCTTGCCAGGGCATTCAAACCTGTCCCTCCTGCCTTCCTTATCTTGTGAGCCAAAAAACATGTCCATCACTGCTCTACATCTGCTGTTAACATGCCATCTGCTATGGAATTTATTTACGTTGTATTAATTTAGTAAAAGGCAACTTGTATTTAAACACTCTTATGTAATTAAATCAGAACACAATGATGGGACTTAAGATAGGTATAATTTTAGACATCATACCTGTAAGAGAAGAGTGAAGTTTTCACTCTGAATGATCTTGGAGAAGTTTTCTACCACAAATGCAATGCATTCATCTTGGAGCTGAGATGCCATAGCTAACGCTGTTTCTGTCCACTTTACTCTGGGTAAACTGATGATCAGTTTGTCACTTTCCATCAGAAGAAAAGCAGCATTCTTATCATTCTAGAATTTTAAAAAGATTGGGAAAAAAGATTAGGTTGTATTAATGCTTATAAAATAACTCTCTAAGCAAATCAAATACTTTTATTTTGTGATTTTTTTCTACAAAAAAAAACAATCCCAAAATTCCAGGTCGGTACTATCTTTGTCATTAGTTTTACTTTAAAAAAATGTATGTATTCACTCAGAATAAATTTATGTGCCAAAAGCCAGTTATAGTGGTACAGGCCTGTAATCCCAGCATTCAGAAAGTGGAGACAGGAGGACTGTGAATTTGAATTCAGCCTCAGCTGCACAGACAGATTCTGTTTCAAAAAACAAACAAAATAACGTGTGCCTATAGATATCATTTAATTGCAGGGCTACACTGATTTGGCTTTAATTCTTTTATGTATATAAAAATATCTTCCGTTTTTTTTTTCTTGGTGATCAATTGTACTCAAGGCCTTGTATTTGCTAGATAGGTGCTCTACCATTGAGCCACACCTCTAGCTTTAAAATATGTTCTTTATTGCAAATTTAGAAAGGCTAAAAATTACTTATAGACCCTCATAACTTTCTTCCTTTTCTCTAATTTGCTAAGATTCTACTTCTTATATTTTATTCATTTAACAATGATTTGTTTTTGTCACAGAAAAAAATGTTCACAAATACTGAATTCTATGAAAAATGGAATGGCAATTCACAAATTCTGCGTGCTCCAAGAGAAAAAATGGCAAATTAAAAATTACTGTATTCGGTACTGATTTCTAGTTCTTAAAACAATTCTTAGTAAATAACTAATTTTTAAGTAACTATTGGACTGTAGCAGATTGAAACAAAACATGACCACAGTTCTTTGCTGCCTCAGTCATCTCTTTCCTTATGCCTTGTACATGGACTGGACTTTTCACTTGCTTTAACAAATAGTGGTGATGTGCAAGTTCCAGAGCCTAGGCCTCAAGAAGCCTTGCAGCTTCTGCCTTTACCCTCTTGGAATGCTGGGACCACCAGGTCATAAAGAAGCCTGGTAAGAATGTCTATGTGGGCTGGGCATGGTAGATCACACCATAATCCCATATAGATGGGAGGCAGAGATTAGGAGGTTTGCCGTTCTAAGCCAGCTCAGTCAAAAAGGTACTGAGACCCCAATTCAATCAGTAAACGGGTTATGATGATGTACATTGCAATCCCAGCTACTTGGAGGAATAAATAGGAGGATTATGGTCTGAGGCCAGCCCTAGGCAATAACGCAGACCCTATCTGAAAAATAACTTAAGAGGAAAAAGGCTGGGAGTATGGCTCCAGCAAGTATGAGGCCCTAAATTCAAACGCCAGAACTATGAAAGAAAGAAAAAGAGAGAGAGAGGGAGGGAAGGAGGGAGGGAAGAAAATGAGGGAGAGAGGGAGGGCGAAGGAGGCTCAGCCTCTCAGTCTCCAGCTTAGCCACCAGCTCAGGCAAGACCAACTAAGCTGTAGTTTTAAGCCATTTAGTTGTGGGATGGATTTGTTTACACAACAATGAAAACAACAGACAGAAATACTTAACACGAACTGTATGAGGTGGACTCTACATACTGTCTATAACTTCAGATTTCAACCACAGCACTGTCTTCCCTAATCCCTACACCTGTATCAGAGTTCTTTTACCTCAGAGAACCTGTTCCTTTTTTTTTTAAGTACTTAATTCAATTGTAATTATTCAAAGATGAACATAACATGACTATTCATCTCCCTCATTATGCTGTGTGTTCAGTGAGTGAGAAACTATGCCTTGTTTTGCTCACTATTATATCCCCAGGACCCAGCTGGGTCAGCAAAGATACTCGAGTACTCACTGGTATCTTACCATGACCAGAGACAAAGAGTCTATAAGTGAATTTCTAAGATAACTTAAGTTTAATTCTTGAACATGAAAACCTTAAAACTTTACACTTGGCAAGAATTCATTAAAAATTAAAAATGTATATGCTAACACTGCTTTAGTAGAGGAAAAAAATATTATGATATAATTCGAGGGTTTTTTAAGTACCATTATCTTTCCTCCTATGTGACCTCCTCAGTAACTGTGCAATTACTCAGAATGTTAGGCAACAAGCCCATTCTGCTCTACTTTAGGCATTACTTTGATAGTGGAGCCAAACGTAGGCTATGCAAATAAATTTGGCAGCTATCTATGAGTGCTTACTATATGCATAATGCTATGTGCTCTGGCAGGAATATTTTTAAAAATACAGTCACAGAGTACAGTTTATAATTTAGCTTAGAATCTATTAGAAAACTAAAATATGGACACAGTTAAGTGACAACATACATGATATGTAATTTTCCATAGTGATTTGAATATATGACAAACATTAAATGTTAGAATACCTCAAAGAAGAAAAAAAAAGATTTCCTGGCCAAACAAAATTTTAATTTAAAATTTCACATGGTTCAAAATTCAAATATTAAAAAAAATGTATAAAGAGTATTACTAGAAAAAGTCTTATCTCAAACCACTGATTTTCAAACATACATACATATATATATATAATTTTCCCCTATTTTATTCAAATGGAGGCATTCATGCACATTAATTGAACTTTGCCTTTTACATCACCATACATCTTGAAATTTTTTTCTAAATGATGTATAGAAAGCCCTCTTATTGTTTTGGGTTTTTTTATTTTTTCTTTTTGTGTGTGTGTGTGTGTGTGAGAGAGAGAGAGAGAGAGAGAGAGAAGACAGGAGAGATCAGGAAAAGAGGAGAGGAGAGGAAAGAAGGAAAAGAGGAAGGGAGACAGAGGGAGGGAGATATCTGTATCTATCTATATCTATATCTGTATCTATCTATCTAGAGAGAGAGAGACAGAGAGAGGGAGGGAGGGAGGGAAAGAGAAGTATCTGTCTAGGCCAGGCTGGCCTCAAACTCCTGACCCTTCTGCCTTAGTGTCCCAAGTGCTGGATTATAAACATGAACACCATGCCCAAGTAGCTATGTAATAGTCCATATTATAGATGTAAATCATTTAAATAGTCCTCTATATGGATATTTTCATTGTTTTGAATGTGGGTTTTTTGGTGTAATTCATTATTCCTTACATATAGTGTTATTTTATATATGTGCAAATATATCTCTAGGCTACATTCCTAAAAGTACAATTAGTGGGTCAATACTACTTGTTTGAACCTGGGTTCCATCTAAAAACTGAGTCTGAGAAATAAGCTTCCATACAGACAGCTTATTTTGGGAGATGATCCCAAAGGCATTCAAGGCCCTGGAAGAATGAAAGGGAAGGGAGGAAAGCAAGTCCAACAGTGTGTCTTCTAGCTTCTTGCTAGAAGTGTGATCCGAAGCATTAGCTTCAGCTAGAACTTGTTAGAAATAAGGAATCTGTGGGTCCTCCTTTTATTGAGTTAAAATCTGTACTTAGACATACCCCATAAGTGTTTCATATATACATTAAAGTTTGACAAACACTGATAGAGTATATAGGTGACCGGGACTCAATCTTGTTCAGAACTTCCTGAAGAGTCATAGAGGATGCATTTTGAATTAACCAACTCAAGACACAGAAAAGGAGTTAACATTTCACCACTGGCTCCCATTACTTTGGGTCAAGACTTGCCCTCTGGGTAACACTCCCTTTACTTGCCAGGATTACACAGGTTCAGAATTGTTAGGCTGAGGATATAGCCCAGTAATAACCCTGCCTAGCATGTATGAGACCCTTGGTTCAATCTCTAGCACCGCAAACAAACAAATAATATTAAGTCCAGAATTGTTGAGGTGCAGGTATTCCATGTGGAGCAGCACTAAAGTGAGCACAGAGGTAAGAAAGATGTGTGATGAAGCTGAGGGATTACTGCTGTGTGCAGTTAGATGCTGCAACAATGGCTGAAGTAGAAACATGGGACAAGAAGACATGAGGTGGGATACCAGGGGTCTCCTAAACACTGACAACATACATTCAATGGGGCACTGAGGTACAAATGGCAGATTCTTGAGTAACCTAGAGAAATGTATTTAGTGGTTCATAATCAGTATTAAAAAAAAAAACAAAGAAAGAAGGGGGAAATAAGAAACATCCTATATAATAAGCATATGAGTATTTTGGTGAAACTTATGTTTCAATTCTATATCTATTAGTATATGGATTACAACAGGAAAAAAATTTTTGTCTGGGTCAATCAAAAAGGGTCACAGCCAAAAAAGTTTGGAAAATAGAGCAAAAGCTGTGCTAATTTATTCCCTTCCAAGAATGAATAGCAGTATTTATTCTCTACATTCTAACTAATATGATACAGATTTCCTTACTTTTCATTCTGAAAGGTAGAAAATGATACTATAGTTTTAATGTCCATTTCTCTTAAAAATATGAAGCTGAGGATCTGCTCATAACATAAAACAGATATTTACATTTCCTTTTAGAATCACTTAATTCTATTAGCTTTTATTTTTTTGGCAGCATTGGAGTTTTGAACTTGAGGCCTCATTTTTGCTAGGCCAGTCGGCACTCTACCACTTGAGCCACAGACATAGTCCATTTTTTGCTTTAGTTATTTTTCTGGTAGTATCTCACATTTTGCCCCAGCCTGGCCTCAGACCATGATCCTTCTGATCTCTGTCTCTCAAGTAGCTGGGATTATAGGCATGAGTCACCATACCCAGCTTAACTTTTATTTAAAAAAAAATCAACTTATATAAACTCTGTGTTAGGGAAATCCTTAAAACTAATAACATAACATGTGTGTATATGTGTGTGTGTGTGCTATTACTAAAGTAAAATTGTATGTGCATATATTGTGGTTATAATCAGCATTCAAAAATTAAATAAAACATACCTATTTTTGTTTTTACTTTTCTAAATTAAAACTTCACAATTGGATTGTTTTTAAAAACTGCTTAAGTGAAACAAACTATTTAAATGATGACTTGAAATAGTACAAGTTGTTTCATAGTAAAGTTGATAGGGAAATTTTACTTTGAAGCTGGCAGGGAAATTTGAAACATCTTTTCACTAGAATCCCTACCTCTGGCA